GATCTTCTATGAAACTATTCAAAGTTTTCGAGAGATATCTATATCGATTGATGTTTTCATACTAAACATGAATCGATAGTCTAGTCAAAATCAGAGAAAGTTTTTCAAAAACGTATAAAAATAATATCTAGTTTGTAAAAAAAAGTACGCAGTGATTACATTTGCTTTGCAAAACTTTCTGAACTGCGCCATGCTTTTTTTTATCTCATCAGAAATGTCACATATCCAGGAAATCGTGGATGTCAGAGATGCAGAGAAAGATGCGGGATCTACAAAAAGATTCTTCGACGAGTCCTTTTGTATATCCTGCATCCCCCTCTGCATTTCTGGCATCGTCGGTTTCCTGGATATGTGATACTGCCAGAAGTGAACATCTTATACCGAAGGTAGCAGTAAACCTACTTCCCCGGTTTGTCATTGTAATGACAATAAGGTAAATACTGCAGCAGTAACGAAACATCTCGTCAACAAAATTTGTCTGATCCAATTTCTATCCTTCTACGAATAATTGGAAACAAACTGAGAAACTTTTTAGCTCTGGTGTTCCTCTACCGAGTTGAACAAATGAATTGTACCTTAAATATCTTTACTTTTAGACAGTGTTTATTGTTCTTCTTTTTCACAAATGATGTTCCTTAATACATTGTCAATCATCATCGCTCTGCTGACGTGGAATGATGTCGGTGCTTCAGAGTGGTGGAATGGCTGGAGTCCGCATGATAACAATGATCGTTATCAAACAGAAGCAGTCCCTATAACTCCAACAACTACAAAAACCGAATTCAAACAGGTATGGTACACTAAACTAAGCGGTCCAGTTCAAATGTCCCCAACTGTTTATCAACATTATGTCTATGTGTCGACCTGGACCGGAACGTTTTATTGCCTTCAGGCACACAATGGCATCATATTGTGGCAAAAAAATCTCTCAGATATTATTAACAATGATTATGTTTATGTTTCACGTACAAGTCCACTGGTTTACAACAATATGATAATCTTGGGCCTAACGGATGTGAACATAATATCACATGTAGCAGGTTATGGTTCTTATATTATAGCATTCGATCGTTTCACTGGAATACTTCTATGGCAAAAAAGAGTTTCTTCACATCCAGCGTCTAAATTAACAAGCACTCCTCAACTAGCGAATAATATTCTTTTTGTTGGCATATCATCGTCTGAAGAATCCTACGCAATTGATCCAACATATCCCTGTTGCACATTTCAAGGATCTGTGGTTGCACTGAACGCCAGTACGGGTATGTTTCTTTGGGAAACAAAAATGATGCCAGATAATAATGGAACCACAACTGGATATTCAGGTAAATCAAAAGAAAAAATGGAGCTGCTTTCTGTTACACACTAACTTATCTGTCTAAGAAAAGTCAAATTTATATGTCTAATTTTTGTGCTTTGCAACCACGAAGAATAGAAAAAGAGCCTCTATACTTGAGAATAGATCTCATAAACTGTAAAAGCTGGCATAGAATAATAGGCTCTCATTTTCGTGTATGCACATAAGTACGTATTCTTTTAGAGTTTATTGGTCTTTAGAGGTGCTGGCTTAGCATTAACATTGCATTGAATTAACGGTAATGTTAAGCCAACATCCATATTCATCCTATAAACACTTTCATAAACTGTTCAGAATATATAAGTAGTAATATACTCTTTAAAAGTTGATTAACGTCATAAACCCTTGAAGAAAGGATATATTAATATCCGTATTGGAGGAAATTGTATAAGGATGATAACTACAAGTTTTTGAGTCGTTTTGATACAAATATATTTGAAAACATTCAAGTTTCTTTCTATCGCTTTCTAATTTAATCTATTCAGGTGCCGCAATTTGGGGTAGTCAGTTTCCAGTTGACTACAAACGCAACCAAATCTATGTTGCAACTGGTAACTACTATAAACTACCAGCTTTAGTTCAAAAATGTGTGAATGACACTAACAATTTGACTCTCTATTCCGATCCATGTGATGAGCGGGCTGCTTACGGTCAAGCTATTGTAGCATTAGATATGACTACGGGAATTGTTCGTTGGAATCGAAATCTTGGACCTATAAATGCATACACTGAAGCTTGTGGTCACCCGAGTGTTAATTGTCCACCTTATCCTGGAAATGATAGTGACTTTGGACAAGCTCCAATATTGAAACTAAACTTGCAGTATAAATTAGGCGGCAAAAACCGTGATCAATTGTTTGTTGGACAAAAAACCGGTATAGCATTTAACTTCGACGCTGAAACAGGAACAATTATCTGGTCCAAACAAGTTGCACCTGGTTCCCACGCCGCTGGAATTAAATTTGGATCTGCTGCTGATGATCAATATCTCTATGTTGGCAATAATAATGCTAATAGTTTAAATTACACATTGCCAAATGGAACTACAACAACGAAGGCAAGTTGGTCTGCCTTAGATTTAGTCACCGGTGATGTTAAGTGGACTACGGTTGATCCTACAACAAATGTAAATCAAACAAGCGCTTCTCTTGCATTGACCGTCTGGGATCAACTTGTTCTAGTTCAAGGTGGAACTTCACCAGGAAGATTAGCTACTCCAATCAAAGGATGTCTCTATGGATTGAACAAGACGAATGGTGAAGTTTTGTATGAATGGTGTATTGAAAATACGCCAATTGGTAGCGGTGCATCTGTTGCAAAGAATACTATATATGTGGGAATTGGATATGCAATACCAAGAGCAGCAACAGACGGTCTAGTAGCATTACAATTGCCTTTGATACCTTGAAATCAAAGCTATCACCTCTTCTGCTTTTAGCACAAAAACTCTATTTTTTTCTTTTCTTTCTACTTTAACAAAAAATATTACGTTATTTGTAATTTTAATCAATATTTTTCACCACAAGGTGTGTTGAAGGTATGAGGATGTGAGACAAACTGCCATGACCATAGTTTTGACCCTGCTCCCAGGTCTTGGCAATTGGCTTAAAACTAATGTAAATTTTTTGAAGAAAATCCAAATCAATTAAAATATTAGGTTGAAAATAATATTTTGAGTGTGGGTGTGGGTGTGGGTGTGGATAGAGAAAAGAAACACCCACACCCACATTCACACACCCACACCCACCCCACACCCACATTCACACACCTACACCCACATTCACACACCCACACCCACACCCACATTCACACACCCACACCCACATTCACACACCCACACCCACACCCACATTCGCACACCCACACCCACACCCACATTCACACACCCACA